GCATATTTTTATTCGTCGATTTTGATGAAATGACGGCATCAGCAAACCATATAATTTACTCTGAAAATGAATTCTTTCCGTCTCCCAAAAATAATTTCTTATTTGGCTTTGAAATATACGAAACTTTTCGATGTATAAACAGCTTCCGTCAGCAATGCTTCAAATGAAACGTGATAAGTAAACAGATAGAGAGAGAAAGAGAGAGAGAGAGAGATTGCAGATGTATGTAGATCGCGTAGCGAGCACTGAAGCCAAGCAAATATGAATGTATGTTGTTTGCACGGTGTTGTGTATTTTTCAATCAACTTGGTATAAAAATATATATACAAACACAATAAAAATTCATTTAGAAATTAATTTCTTGTTGCAACAATATCCAGTCGAATGCAAACTTTTTCAACGAACGGACATTCAATGAACGCAAGACACGCAACATAAGATATATGGGTTTTTGTGATGGGTTTAGTGTTGACATGACGCCGCGTGATTATGCCATGCACATTAACCACCCCCCCTGTCCCTCTGATGAGAATGGTAATAAAATTTGGTTAGAGCAACCATTAAAAATACATATATACACACGGAATCGCAATGCGAAAAGAATACAATCATAAAGTTTTACGCGTTAAAAAGAAATATAACTGCGATGGCAACGCTTTTTCCGTTTCATAAATGAACAATTTTTTTTCGCAGCCATTAAGTCGATTCATGCGGTGCGCGACGCCATTCAACTTTGCCGATAAAATAATAGATTAGCTGTTTGCTTGTCGAATGATTTCATTAGAATTTATTAAGAGTCCGTGAGTGCATAAACATTATCGTGTGTCCCATTGAGAATGTTGAAATATACCCTTTTTATTCTGCACATAAACACCTGCAAGAAACACTTATACAAAACGCAAAGAAATAGAGAGAGAGCGCGCGAGATAGATCACAAGAGAGTAATGTGCGTTGCAGTCTTTGACGCAACACAAAGGCAAATAGAGAGGTTTGGCGGCAAGCAAACAATATACAACTTAACGCCGAACAATAGCGTTTTGATAATGAATTGAATGAGACAGACGACGACAGTTTGGGAGTCAAAAGTTAGAAAGGGTCCATAAATGTTCTCTCGCATTTTATTGTGTCGTCCAAAGCGAGATCGTTCGTGCAATTCAGGCGAAATATCAAGCAACACATCTTGGTGTGACATTTGATAGACACAACACAGACGATACACTGCATAACCACAGATACACACACAGAGGCGCGTCTTTCTCTCTCTCATCTCATTGACATTGTTGCGTTTGTCGTCACAAACACGCGCCGGACACATGTAGCCATCGTCGTCTATCGTCTCTCAATTCAATTTGGTTGATTTGGTGAAACTTTATCATTTATAAATTTATAAAGTTTTAATTATGATGTGCAAGATGGCTAAGGTCGAAAATGGTTCGAATGTTTAATTTTCATGTGAAATGAAAATGGATGGTATGCGGTGTTTTGTGTGCGATGGCGTCAAGACGCCAATAATTTCATTTTGCTGCTGTGATTTCTTTTTCACGCGATTTTTATTGTTTTCATTGTCTGGTTGGCTGGCTGGCTGGTTGGCTATTTTGTGTACATTCGTTCATTTGTTCATTCAATCATGCATATAAATCATATTTTCAGGAATTCCATCAAAATTCCGTTCACGGTATCTCCATGCGCCACGATTTTGTACATAGTTCATGCGAACATCATGAAAACATCGTTGAAAACAAACCAATAGAAAGAAGAACGAAACACCAGTGTACTAATTGAAGAATAAATGTCGATATTTGCTGTTGATTTACTTGCTAACGGCTCCATTTCCACAAAATGTTGAAATTTATTTTTGATTTTCTGACCCGATATAACCTATTTGCCGCTCGCAAAATTCAGCGGCTCATTTTTATTTCATTTCAAATAAACAAAAAAACCAGCTTAAAGAATGAGCGAGAAGGCGATCGTCAACACAATATATTTTTGGTGTATTATATCTATGGTATATTATGCTAGCAATAGCATCATTTTAACTAAATTTAATTTTATTATTTTAAGGGACTTCTTGCGTAAAACTAAATCAGTATACAAATTTATGTAACCATCGAAGAGGAAAACACTCGCTTGTACTTCTATGGCGTCGTATT